AGACGCACAGACGGAGACCGAATTATATGTCCCGTTTTCGGACTAATAAGAGGTTAATATATAAATTGCAATTCAAAATATTTGGGGCTGTGTGAATATGCTCAGTAATAGGATTCTACTTTTGTTGCATACAAGAGAACTTCAGCATCCATTGTAAACCAAGAGAAGAGTTAATATATTACGTCAATAACCTTGAATAACCTGTCAAGGTATACACCACACATACTTACAATGGAACCACCTGTCAAGGTATATACCACACATACTTACAATGGAACCACCTGTCAAGGTATACACCACACATACTTACAATGGAACCATCTGTCAAGGTATACACCACACATACTTACAATGGAACCACCTGCCAAGGTATACACCACACATACTTACAATGGAATCACCTGCCAAGGTATACACCACACATACTTACAATGGAACCACCTGCCAAGGTATATACCACACATACTTACAATGGAACCACCTGCCAAGGTATACACCACACATACTTACAATGGAATCACCTGCCAAGGTATACACCACACATACTTACAATGGATCCACCTGGTTCTAGGATACATCTTCTGTAGTCCATACCCACTTTTGGATTCATAATTCCTTCCTTTCTAAATCGTGTATAAAACATATCCATACAGAATACTTCACTCCACTGTAAAATAAATATGCATTGTAATAAGAATCATCTACATTCATGTACAAATTCATATATTTGTACAAGTGCAACACATACAATTCTATTACACACTGTATGACCATCACCACCCTTTTAAATAAAGCCTTGTAGTACATGCCAATATTACCTATGATATTATTCAATAGATAAACCTAATGGTATTTGAATACATTTATATATACATGTACTAGTGTCCTAATGATTGAAATGACTTCACTGTCTTTGTAGATATTTTTCTCAAAACAAGGACGACATTCTGTATGATGAAAGGGGCAAGGTAAAAACAAAGGATTTTCATAAATTGACACTAGATGGTACTCTTCAAACAAGACTTACTAGATATCCATAATACTGTGCATCATAGCCATCAGCCAAATGACCAAAAGAGGCACACATGTTAGTTCCAGGAGTTGCCGGGATACCAAGAATTGTATCTGATAACTCTGCATAGACTTTTTTTGTGTCAGCCTTTACAAAAAAACGCACAAATAAACAATACAAATGTTAGTACATGTACATTGTAAAACATTGGCATAGTGTATACATGTAAATTTTAAAACATTGGCATGGTGCATACATGTACAGTGTTCTCCCCAGGATGTAAACAGCGTGGCGGTCCCGCCACAGTGCTTCGATTTGCCGCCACACTGGTCTGACACCGCCACGGTGATTAGCAAGACCGCCACAGTGCTTTTTTCATTGGGGATCTCGTCACACTTGTCGGCCCGACCGGCACTCAAAATTAGCGACCACCACGGAAACGCTTCCAACCAGGACTATTGCCATATTGTTATTATACTTACGTACCGACCGACACGCATCCTGCCAGTCGTGGATAATAATTTGTAAACAATAGACAGTCCCGCGATTGAACAATACAAGTCAATTTTGTAAAATTAGCACCTCTTTGTTTGTAAGTAAATACTTTCTGATGATAGACGCAGTCTTTAGATTCAAAGCTAAAATTCTTTCAAAATCAATTCCACCCGATGTAACATGGGCAAAGCGGAGTTCACGATCAGTTTACGCTACTCAAGAAAAAACAACGTGTTTATTGCGTGATTGGGTAAAATACATTTGAACTGTTATCATCGTGAATCATGTAAAAACTCTTCTTTCAAGACTTCTTTTACCTTTTAAAAATTTCTAATCACCTCTTTCGAAAACCATCATGCAGTTTTCATCTGAAATTCATACCAACACATCGTGCTACGACATCGCTTTACTTCTGCAATGTAATTTTTATGATCACGATCAT